GTTGGTGCTTTTATAACCCAATGACTATTTACATCGTCTTTTTGTTCAGTGCCAGTTACTGATTGCTGTCCTGAACCTGAGCCATATTTCACATCATGTGAATGCAGTCGATAATTGTAATCGGAGTTGAGCAATTTCAATATAGAACCACAAGTAACAAAATTTGTTTTTACAGCTACAAAAAAAAACATAAAAATTGATAAGCAAACGGGGGCATTAGAAATAAGAGCGCGGCAAAGCAAACCAATCGCAAGCTTACACATAAAGCCGCACAATGTAAATACTCACCGTTATAAAGAGGAGAAATACACAAAATTATTAATATCCTTAATAAATTTATGTTTTCTCCCTTTAATTTCATTGTTGTGAAAAAAAAAAATTTTTATTTTTTCTAATAAAACACAGTAATTTAATACAGCAAATCTTTTCACTAAGTGTTCTTATGTGCGGAACTTATTTTTTAACAATGTGAATAAAAGACACGCAAACATTTACCACATATGTTTGTCATTTGACAGATAAACAATAATGACAGTGTTGTAAAATGATTTTTACAACACTTTCGGTGACGAAAGATGTGTTGTATTATATTCAGATAGCCAAATTTCCTTAATTTCGTTAAAATGACATTAAGTTAATTCGGAAAGTCTTCATGTTGCCCCAAATTAAGGAAATCATATATTTTTTGTTTACTATTTATATCTGGGATATGTTAAACGTTGATTATTATAACTATGAATTGATTTACACTGGCCTCAAATCGCTCATTTTGGTCAAAAATCAAAAATGGTAAGCAAATGATTCATTGCATCTCATTCTGTATAAATAAGTTCCAATGAGGCTAGAATGAGTTCCAAATATGTCCGAAATGCAAATGCATACATTGAACATATCCTACATAAAAGCTTTTCATGGCATTTTGACAGTTTGAGAAAGCTGTTTTTGACATACTTACAAAAAAAGGTAAACAAATGTTTGGTGGTTACATATCCTCTTTTTGGAACTTCTTCCCAAAAATAATTTAATCGAAGCAAAAAATAAGTTTTCAGTTAATATTGTAAGGTTTGAAGGTATATTAAACCATCATTCAACATATTTTGGGAACAAACAAGTGGAAAAATCAGCTGTTTGAAATAAGAACAAATGAATTATAACGAATGTAAACATTTTCATATGACTTATTTGAAATGAATCATTTTTGGCCAGTATAAACACTATATAAAAGAAAACAGTTGAAGTTTCTGCTCAATAGGACTATTTAATAAAAATTCAATATAATACTTTTATATTTTATTTTTAATAATAATATTCAGAATTAGTATATTTTTAAATGTGCAATACACAAAATAATTTATTAAAGTGATATTAATTTGTTAATACCAAACTTGCGTCCATTCGATGATAAGAACATATTTCGCTGTTTAATACTTTCGATAACTTTTGATTAGCAAAACAACACTAATTAATCAGCTGTTCTTGATTTACTTCACAGACAGAGAAAATTT